GTAGCTAGCATATCTCTTGTAGAAAAATTAGGTTTAACATTGTTGAGACACCCAAGACATTATAAATTGCAATGGTTGAATGCGAGTGGCGAGGTGAGTGTGAATCGAAGGGTGTTACTTAATTTGTCAATTGGGAGTTATAAGGACGAGCTGGTGTGTGATATGATGCCAATGCAAGCGGGACATATTTATTGGGGCGACCATGGCAATACGATAGGAAGGCTATGCATGATGGGTACAAAAATCAATATAGTTTCATTAAGGATGGAAGGACCATTACTCTTGTGCCATTAACACCGGTGCAAGTCTATGAGGACCAATTAAAATTGAGAAGTGAGGAAGAGAGGAGAGCAAAAGAGTTAGAAAAAATGAGAGCAAATAGTGAGTTGGAGAAAAAGAGAGAAAATGTTGAGATAGCCATTAGAGAGAAAAAGAGAGAGCAATCACAAGAGAGAAAAGAAAGAGAGTGCCCCAAGAGAAGAGAGAAAACACGAGCAAATTTCTTTACAAAAGAGAGTGATTTGAGAAGGGCGGTAATTGAGAGAAAAGAGATGATCTTGTTCGTTTATAAAGAATCACTCCTCAATTTTGAGAAAACTAACCCACCCCTCCCTAGTTTGGCTAAATCTTTGTTGCAAGAATTTGACGATGTATTTTCGAAGGATGCACCAAGTGGATTGCCGCTTATTCGAGGCATTGAACATCAAATTGACTTCATACTCGGAGCTGTCATTCCAAATCGACCAGCTTATCGAAGTAATCCCGTGGAGACTAAGGAGCTTCAAAAGCAAGTGGAGGAGTTAATGAGCAAAGGATACGTGAAGAAAAGCATGAGTCCTTGTGTGGTACCGGTTTTGCTTGTACCAAAAAAGGATGAAACATGGCGAATGTGCGTGGATTGTAGGGCTATCAACAACATAACGGTAAAGTATTGTCACCCTATTCCTAGGTTAGATGACATGCTTCATGAATTACATGGTTCTTGCATATTTTCTAAAATTGATTTAAAAAATGGGTATCATCAAATTCGTATGCGGGAGGGTGATGAATGAAAAACGGCTTTTAAAACTAAATATGGTTTATATGAATGGTTGGTTATGCCGTTTGAACTCACAAATACACCTAGCACTTTTATGCATTTAATGAATCATGTTTTACGTGCTTTTATAGGAAAATTTGTTGTAGTGTATTTTGACGACATCTTAATCTACAGCAAAAACCTAGGAGAGCATTTGAAACATTTAAAATGTGTGCTAATTTTTTTTAAGGAAAGAACAACTCTATGCTAATCTTAAGAAATGCACATTTTGTGTGGATAGAGTTATATTTCTTGGATTTGTGGTTAGTACTAATGGGGTAGAAGTAGACGATAAAAAGATAAAAGCTATTAGAGATTGGCTGACACCTAAAAGCATAACGGAAGTTAGGAGTTTTCATGGATTGGCTAGTTTTTATAGGCATTTTGTGAAAGATTTTAGCACTATCACCGCACTACTCACGGAAGTAGTTAAAGAGAGTGTAGGTTTTCATTGGGGTGACGAACACGAACTTGCATTTAATACTATTAAAGGTAGATTGTGTGAAGCACCTATTTTGGCATTACCTAACTTTGATAAAACATTTGAGATTGAGTGTGATGCATCAGGAATAGGGATTTGAGCAGCTTTAATGCAGGATCGGAGGCCTATTGCATACTTTAGCGAGAAATTGAGTAGAGCTGCTTTAAATTATCCTACATATGACAAAGAACTTTATGCACTTGTTCGAGTTTTGGAGACTTGGCAACATTATCTATGGCCGAAGGAGTTCGTAATACACACCGATCATGAGTCACTAAAGCACTTGCAGGAACAAGGTAAATTGAACAAGAGGCATGCATGGTGGATGGAATTCATTGAGACCTTTCCATAGGTCATTCGGTATAAACAAGGTAAGGAAAACGTGGTGGCGAATGCGTTGTCACGAAGGTACGTATTGCTAACTACTCTTGATTCTAAGCTACTTAGGTTTGAACATATTAAGAAATTGTATTAAAAAGATGTTGAATTTTTGGATATTTATTTGTCATGCAAAAAAGGGGCGGTTGATAGGTTCTTTAGGCACGAGGGGTATTTATTTCGGGAAAATAGGTTATGTGCTCCTAATTGTTTTATTCGGGAGTTGTTAGTAAGGGATGGTGGATTGATGGGACACTTTGGGGTTCAAAAGACTTTAGATGTATTGAAGGAGCATTTTTATTGGCATAAGATGAAAAGTGACGTTGAGCGAATTTGTAGTCGATGCATAGGTTGTAAAAAGGCTAAATCTAAGGTTTTATCACAAAGTTTGTACACACCTTTACCTACACCTAGTGAACCTTGGGTTGATATCTCGATGGACTTTGTTTTGGATTTTCCTAGGACTAAGAGAGGTCGGGATTCTATTTTTGTGGTTGTAGATAGGTTCATTAAAATGACACATTTTATACCATGTCACAAAACTGACGATGCCACGAATATTGCTGACTTATTTTTTAAAGAGATTGTGCGTTTATATGGGGTTCCTAGAAGCATATGTCGGATGAGGATGTCAAAATTTTGAGTCACTTTTGGAATGTTTTGTGGGGTAAGTTAGGCACAAAGTTACTATTTTCCACAACTTGTCACCCACAAACGGATGGGCAAACCGAGGTTGTGAATAGGACTATGACATAATTGTTACGCATAGTAATCAATAAAAATTTGAAGAGTTGGGAGGAGTGTCTACCATTTGTTGAATTTGCATACAATCGAGCTGTTCACTCTACTATGTCATATTCTCCATTTGAAATTGTATATGGTTTTAATCCACTGACTCCTTTGGATTTAATTTCTTTACCTGTGAATGAACGTGGTAGTTTAGATGGCAAAAAGAAGGCGGAATTGGTTAAGTCACTCCATGAAAAGGTAAAAGCGCAAATTGAAAACAAAAGTAAGTTGGTTGCGTCGCAGGCAAACATAGGAAGCGTGTGACATTTGAGCCAGGAGATTGGATTTGGGTGCACCTTAGAAAGGAGCGGTTTCCGGAGCAAAGGAAGTCCAAGTTGTAACTGAGGGGCGATGGACCATTTCAAGTGATTGAAAAGATAAACGACAATGCTCACAAGTTGGACCTTCCCGGTGAGTACAATGTTTCGGCTACTTTTAATGTATCTCTCTCTGTTTGATGCAGGTTCAGATTTGAGGATGAATCCTATTGAAGAGGAAGGGGATGATATGATCCAGGAGTCGAGCCTGACGAAGGTGAGTCAGGCTCGACGAGACCCATTGATAGTCGATGGCGGACCAATGATGCGATCAATGGCAAAGCAAGTGAAACAAGTGATGGGATTACTCATTCAAGAAACCATGTTCGGGACTCAAAATGGAGCAACTTTCATGTTCGGGTCGAAGGCCGAATCAACTTGGATCAATTTAATATCGAAGGCCGAAGACGGACGAAAATAATAAGCCTATGCGACCACATAGGCTTATGTGGCTTGCGAACGCATGGAGGCATATCGAAACTCAAGATGGGATTTTTAGTTGAACCATGCGACCGCATGGAAATACACTATGCGGTCGCATAGTCTATTTTTTTTTTGGCGAATTTCCTATTTTTGCTATTTTTCCATATTTTGTTAGATTTTGATTCTTTTCCATTCCTAATTATTCTAGGCCGACTTTTGCACGATTTTTACCTAGTTTTTAGGTTTAGTATAAATAGGAGTTTTCATTCAATTGTTAAAAACTTTTGACATTATTGATATTGAATTAAAGTGAAGCGTATTGTCTTCTCTTCATCATTCTTCATTGAAGAACTTCGAAAGCGTATTGTCTTCTCTTCACATTCTTCATTGAAGAACTTCGAACTTATCAAGTGTTAACTTGTGGCGTTCAAACAACTGGATTTAATTCTTGGGTTGCGTGATCAAGGGATCTTTCAAGCGTCGTTCTTGTTGGGTTTTTTGTTCGACTTTCTTTTGGGTTAATCCTAAACTTTTGGATTAATTTGGCTTTCTTAGGTTCGTCAATCTCGTTGTGGGTTTCGTAGTCAACGTTGCTACGGGGTTCGCATCAGAGCCTCATGGGAGCATTACTACATGAGAAGAACTAACTAGAAAATTTTGTAACAAATATTTCCCACCGACGAGAATAGCTAAAATCAAGTTGGAAATTCAAACTTTTCAACAAAAGAGGAAGAAAGCTATCACGAGGCATGTAATAGATTTAATGAGTTGATAAGAAAATTTCCAACCTTGGAATCACTTTAAGCAATCAAGTGCAGTACTTCTACACTAGACTTACACTATTGTCAAAATCTCAAGTCGAGCTTCAGTTGGTGGATCAATTATAGGAAAATCAGTGCAACAAACCATGGAACTATTTGAGTTGATTGCCACCGCACATTCAATGTTCTTATCAGAAAGAGTGGCACCACCAAAGACAAGTGGAATGTATGACATCAACAACATAACATCTACCAATGCACAGATATCACTTTTAACAAAATAGGTAGAGTTACTTGTAAAATTACATGGAGCAAACGCAATGATGGCCAGCTCAGTATGTGAGAATTGTGGGAGAAATCACGCTACAGAGAGCTACATGATACTTACTTCTTCAGAGGAACAAATAAACTTTATTCAAAATGGTACCCGCTATTTCAACTCATATTGGAACAATTTCCAGCAAGAAAAAAGACCAAGTTTGGGGGAGATGTTTCAACAATATGTGCAGAAGACAGACAAGGTGTTTTAGCAAATTGACACAAACTTTCAAAATCAGCAAGCATCCATTAAGAAACTGGAGATGCAAATTGGTCAGATAACACAACAACTTGTACAACGCCCACTAAGGACATTACCAGGCGATACAATGATAAATTCTAAGGAACAAGTGATGGCAATTAAAGTAGTGGAGAACGATCCACCCAAGGCCTCCGTGAAAGTTAAAGCATATGCACCTCTACTTCTATTTCTCTAATGACTTCGAAAGAAGTCGATGGAGCAAAATATTCATGTCATAAATACAAAGAGCGAGGTACAATCGCTAGAGATTAGTACAAAGAGACCCAAAAGAAAAGATGACCAGGAAGTGATTCATGAAGCTACAAGGGTAAAAAAATTTGCACCAAATGCAACTGAAAATGGGGAAAGTACAGAAACATCAGTTGCCAAAGCACCAAGTCTAGGCAAAGCTTACATGTCTCCCATTCCGTTTCCTCAAGGTCTTAAGAAGAATAAACAAGACACAAATTATGAAAATTTTCTCGATATTCTCAAAAAGCTCCAGATTAATATTTTTTTCATTGATGCGATACTACAAATTCCAAGCTACGTGAAATTTTTGAAAGAGATGTTAACAAAGAAAATAAAACTTTCGGAGTTTGAAATTGTGGCATTAACTGAGGAAAGTAGTGCAAGAGTCCTGAGCAAATTACCTCCTAAATTGAAGGATACAGGGAGTTTTACTTTACCAATTTCGATTGGAAATTCCTGTTCAATTAATGCGTTGTAAGACACTGGTGCTAGTATCAATCTAATGTCATATTCTATTTACAGGAATTTGGGACTAGATAAAGTCAACTCAAAATCAATAATGCTACAACTAGCTGATAGAACAATCGCAAGGCCACGTAGCAAAGTTGAGGATGAATTTGTAAAAGCAGGAAATTTCATATTTATTGTGGATTTCATTGTATTGAACATACTAGAAGATTGAGACATTCCAGTTATGCTGGATCCATTTTTAGAAACGGGACGAACCCTTATTGACGTGGAGAAAGGAGAACTAATTTGAGGATAGATGACAAGCAAGAGATATTCAATATTTACACCCAATATGAAAAATCTCCCAATAAAAATGATTGCTATAGAATTGATGAAGAAAAGCTACCTGATCAACGAAGCTGTTACAATAAAAAATCAAAATTTGGAGAACTTCTTGGTAGAGATGAGAATGGACAAATCAAAATTTGGAGAGCAAAAAAGGGTTGCATAAATGAAAATTGCACAAAGTGCAATAATGGAATAACTTGATTTGAGCCACCATGATAAATTAGCGGCACAACCCAAACTTTTCATTTATTTATTTTGTTTTCAAGTTATAGGATAGCTTAGTTTAATTTCTAGTTTATTCAGGAATTATTTCCCATACCCCTTCTACCCATAGATCTTTGAGTAATTAAGTTGGTTATTAATTGTTTGAGCTAAATAACACTTGTTCTATGAGTTTAATTTTTAAATTTTGATTTTTTCAGGAACATGATGTCGCAGAACACTCAAACCAACATGGATCTCAAGTTTGGGAGAAAATAAAAAAGAAGAGTCGATCAAATTTAACACCAAGGAGCCACAACATCATTGGTAATACGGACATTTCACGAAAGTTCTCCTCCTTTTCTTTTAAATTTTACATTGAGGACAATGTTTAGTTTAAATTTCGGGGATGTATTATTATTAATTGCCAAATTGCTTGCCTAAAATTTTTTGTGTGAGTTGGACATTACAATTACGTATTACTTTGAGATTTGGTGTTGATTTATGAATTGTGGATATGATGCATGCTAGATTAATTGAAGCTTAACCTTGCAAACTTGATATTATACGAGCAATAGAATTGGGTTTGACACTGTGATAAAACGAGATGATTTATTTGTTAGATAGGTTGATATAATTGGATATAGATGTTTTGCCTAAACTAAACTAAATTATTTATCCTAGACCAAATTTGGTACAGTTTGAAATGACTTTATAGTTGTAGGAAGATGCGGATGTGAATTTGGATTCCATGTGTGAAAACTAATGTGTGGACTGTCTTAGACTAACATGATTAACTAGGCAAAAGTCTTAAGATGGAGGTCGGTTTGTTTGAATAAGTGTGTGAAAGGGGCATTGCACTAATCAAGGAATATACATTTGAAATCTAAAAACTTCACTTTAAAGTCTTTGTGACTCGATTAATTAAGCCTGCAAGGGTATCTTAAAATCTGGTGCTCTAAAGTTGTGTGACTTGGGAGTCATGGGCCTAAAGCTCGTTATAGGGGTCATTTAGACAATCAAAGATGAAGCTGCACTCAAAGCAAAAATTGTTCTCTTCAGATCCTTTTTTACTCGGGTCAATAAGCCTGTATGTGTGTTTCAAATATGGTGCCCTCAAATCATCTGATTTGAGAGTCATCAGCCTAAAACGAAAGCTTAATGGAGAGAATGCAAAAAAAAAAAAAATTGTGAAAAAAAAAACAAGTGCATGAAACGAGCAAAAGTACAAAATACCTTGGTTAAGCCCTAATACTTATTTGAGGGAATTTGACTTTCGATGAAGGATAGTTACCTAGTGAGTCGTGGCGGTCGAAGAAATCAAATAATTGGAGAATTCATGCTCATTGAAGTGTTGACTTGCAACTAGTCCAACTAAACTCGAGAGGGTGAGGATAGTAATGAAATGTTCAACCTTATGTTACATAATGGGAATGAATGAAAAGTGTAAGTTTGGGGGTGTGTGAATCACACGAGAAATGTAAGGATATATTTGACCATAGAGGGTCGAGAACTTAAATAACTTGTGCAGTCATTATTGATTTCTTAATTCTTCACATACACGTCAGTTTTGTACTGGAAGAGTAGATATTGGTTTGGTATTGTGACTTTGAAGCATGTTTGTGGAATAAACATCAAAATCTCGAATCTTGAGATAAAAAGCTTGATTGTCCAACCATTATCTTTTGCATACTTGTGTATTTGTAGTTATTTAGATGATAGTTTTTTTTGAGGAAAAACAAATGTTTAAGTTTGGGGGTATTTGATAAGTGTATTTTATACACTTATTCAAGACTTTAAAATGATGATATTTAATTGCTTCTTGGATGAATATTGGTCTAAATTGTTGTATTTGGTGTGCAATAGGTAAAATTCAATGATGGTACAAGAAAATAGAAGCAAAAGTGGGCAAAATTGTAGAAAATGGCTAAGTTGTAAGAGATCCAAAGTTTGTGGACTAAAGTGCAAATACTTAAAAGTTGTGTTGGACCTCATGATGAAGATTCAAGAGTGCTTGGAGTCAATTGGATAAAGAAAGATGTCAAAGTGATGAAATATAATTAAAGTATGATCACACATCAAGTTCCAACTAAAAAAAATTTATGCATTGTTTTCAATATTGAGATGCGGATTATTCAGTGATTTCGATTTATTCTACACACATCAGATTGGCAAGATTTCAAGTTTATTCGGTAGCTAACCCATAAGGCTATCAAACATAACTGGTTTGTCCAAAAATTTCGAGTAATTGTTGAGTTACAGATTTTTAAAGTCAAGGGCAAAATCTGAAATTTTAAAAACAGCAACACTAAATTTTAACGTTTACATTTTTGACATGAATGGTAATTTGTACGTTAATTTCTATAGCACACAACTACTTCAAACGTAAATAATTCATAAAAATCTTCTTAAAGTAGTGCCACAAATGATGTTTATAGAAATCTATTTATTTAAAGAAAAATATGTACATGTTTCCTAGTCGAATAAAAGCATTAAGTCACCGATTGTTCTGTAGCACGCTGCATCTTCATCAGCCATCATCCACGCACAACAAATCAAATCAACATATAAGAAGGGAATTAACCAATGAGTTTGAAACTTAATAGATATCATCAGTGCATTTCATTATCAAATTAGAAAATTCAACTATAAATTCATACCGTTGCATGTAGATGGATTTTCGACAAAATTCAATTTCTATAGAATTATCATAACACATAGAGTCGGAGAATGATCATTCAAACTATAGTGGTACCGTTGCACTGTACACAAAGGTACCAATTCATTCATACTTTTAACGAAAAATCATAACTTGAAAATGAAATAACCACTCGCACCTCTATTGACCTTGATTTTCTTGAATACGAAGGAACAAAGTGTAAAAATCATTTCTCATTCACACCATTGCCATTTTCTTAAGCTCAACTTGATATAAAAGATATTTAGAGAGGAAATAAGAGGAAAATCGAATTTGAGGAGGGGTGTAGTAAAAAGTGACTTTTCTCTTCTTGTAACTCCCTTTTTAGTGAAAAACTAAATGAGGGAGTTATATTATCATTAACCTTGTTAAATTGAGTTTTTAACAAAGAATTTAAAAAGTTTTAAGCCCATAAAAAATAATTCATATAAAAAGTTTTATAAAACTTTTCCATGATGAAAAATAAAGGAAAATAAACTGTTCATATATTTGGTAGCCTATCTTTATGAATGCTCACTAATAAAATAATTTTTTCATCTAATTAACTTGATATAATTTTCTTAATGTGCTTATGTGAAATACCATGCCGATGACAATTGTGGCAACCCAATTATTAATTAAATCTTTGTAACCAAATTTACTTAAAATTAATCTCCTAAATTGTTGGGCTTTTTATTAATTTATGACTTGGGCTTTTATAACTTTAAATAGGTTGAGCTTCCGTAGCTCGTTTCATAAATGGGCTACATATAAAATTTATGACCTTACATCCCTCACACCTAACAAAAGTTTTGTCCTCGAAATTACCTTAAATTAAAAAAACAATGTCAAGAATTTGGCTTCAATTCTTGCTTCTATTTCCCAAGTGACTTCCTCTATCCCATGATGTCGCCACTAAACCCTGACTAACTAAATTTCCTTGGTTTTTAATTTCTGTACCTTTCTATCCAAAATACCAATTGGAACTTCTTCATGAGATAATTCTTTCCGAACATCCAATATTTGATAATTCACTACATGACTTGGATTGTGCACATATATTGTAATCATAGACATGTAAAACACATCATGCACGATGGAAAGTTCAAGTAGTAGAGCTGATCGATATGTTATGTTGCTAACCTTCTCAAGAATTCCAAAAGATCCTATATAACTCGGTCTTAACTTGCTTTTCTTACCAAACCTTAGCACACACTTTATAGGTGCCACTTTCAAGAAGACCTTTCTACTATCTTCAAGATTTTGGTCTTTTCTTCAATTTTCTGCATTACTCTTTTGTCGATCTTGAGCTTCTTTTTATGTAGTTCATGATCTTATCGATTGCCAAAACTGTTCGCACCTAAAATTCTCTTTTCACAGACTTTATCCCAATGAACTAGTTATCTACATTTTCTGCCATAAAGAGCCTCATATGGTGCCATACCAATGGTAGACTGAAAACTATTGTTATAGGCATATTCTACTAAAGGTAAGTATGACTCTCATCTTTCTCCTAGGTTTAATACCCAAGCACGCAACATATCTTCAAATATCTGAATAGTTTTTTCGAATTGACCATCTAATTGAGGGTGACAAGCAGTGTTAAAATGTAATTTCATTCCCATAGATCCTTGTAAGCTCTTTAAAAACTTCGACATGAATCTTGGATCTCTATCAAACACAATGGAGATGGGAACACCATACAATCTTACAATCTCTCTAATGTACAACTGTGCCAACTGATCTAAATTGAAAGTCATTTTTATCAAAAGAAAATGAGTTGACTTTGTTAGACGGTCCATTATCACCCATATAGCATTATGTCCTCTCGTTGACTTCAAAAATCCTATGATAAAGTCCGTTGTGATATTTTCTCACTTATACTCAGGTATGTCTAATGGATTTAACAACCATGTTGGTTTTTGATGTTCTGCTTTAACTTGTTGACACATTATGCATTTTCCCACAAATAGGTCTATACTTCTTTTCATATTCCTCCACCAAAT